GGGCACCTGGGCTGCCTCCTCAGCTCACAGGGGAGCAGCTGTTGGCTTCGGCTTTGGCTTCATCCTGCATAACAAACCTGACCTTGAGTCGCTGCCCACTCTCTCTGCCACTCTCTGAAATATGAGGAAATGGAGTCTGGATGTGACTTGAGGCAACCTGTGCCAAGGAACACATCTCCATCTAAATGTGCATCCTGTTTACAGTGATGCTGAAAGGAATTTTGCAAATTTTTGCCTCTTACAATGCAAGTTTCTGTTATGTTAAGCACCTGCATAATTTGAATCCCTTTCAGGATTCTTCATCAACAGAAGAATTTGTTTCAGCCAGAAGCAGGGCCGATTCATTCCCACAGCCTCAAGCATAATCCCCAGCCTATTGGACACATTAATACTGTGGCAGCGTGCCACCTGCTCCATTTATTCACTTGAGATTCAATGCTGCTTAGTCCCTGTCAAATGAGCTCTTTGTGCCACCTCCTGCGGTAATGTAAAAGGTCCCCCACAGGAATTTCTGCTATTCAGTAGAAGATACAAAAGGGAGGGTTGTAAACACTCTGATTAGTGTTGGAGCACAGGGATATTGTCTCCACTGCGTATTACATAACCACGCAACTTCCAGTCTACCTCCTCCTCTCCAGAAGAAACAGTTTAACAGCAAGGGTTCACTGGGCTACTTAACTTCACAGCTGAACGCGTTTCTCTTTTTTTTTATACAAAACCCATGTTACTCCTGGCAAAAGAAGAGAAAAAGTTTAGTTCTGTAACATTCCATAGTAATTCAGGATGATTGCCTGTGAGGATCTCCACTTGAAGTGACAGTGGCCAGAGGCTCTCAGCTCTGAAGAATGAGTGTTATCAGAGGCCTTTGCCAAGAAAAGTTCATGCACAATGGGCCCATCAGCTAATGAACCCAGAATGAATCTTCTCCCAGTTTTTGAGGACAAACAAGTGATTGTGTGCAGTACTGACTATACCAATTTACTGCCGTGTGAAACACATTTGGATGATTTCTGACTTAGAAAACTTACTGAGGTCTGAGGCCAACTTACACAGACCCAGGCACTTTCTTACACCCTCCACATGCTGCACATTCACTCAGTAAATTCTTACTGCTTTAAGAACAAAATGAAACAAGGATTCGGAGGTGGCAAGCTCTCTGCTTTGAAATTCAGTCTCACCTGAGCCTCATAAACACAATAAAATGGTAATGGAGGGGAACTTTAGAAACCATTTAGTCAGTGAGAAAAAAAGGGAAAAGGCATAGCTGTGTTAATGAATAATTCCTTCCTTCTTTTACAACTTCAAGAAAGCCAGTCTGGGGTTGAGTTTGTCTTAGAAAGATGGGAGTCTACGTGGGTTGTACCATTCTGGGATAAACTTAAGACATGCTGTGTAATTCTCATGAGCAATAAAGGAATATACAGCAGTCATAAAGAAACTAGTTGGCCTCATACAGAAACAAACATGTGAAACAAGAGCCTGAATATACATCAGGAAACCTAGAAGTAGTAAATTAATTAATGCCTTTGGGAGGAAAAAGTATGATGTTTCTAGAACGTACCACAGAGCAGAAGAGAGCTAAGAAAGTGTGTGACACTGAACTCTGCCTAAAATATCCCCATGGGCAGTACTAAGGAGTCACAGAATCATAGAATCGCAGAATGGTTTGGGTTGGAAGGGACCTCAAAGGTCACCTTGTTCCAACCCCCCCCTGCCACGGGTGGGGATATCTTCCATTAGAACAGGTTGCTTAAAGCCAAATAATTCCAAGTTCTCTGCAGTAGGAAGAAAATGTATAAATACTTAAACAATGAAGAGAGTGTAAGAAAACTTGGGTCTTGGCCACTCTTACATCGTAGATAGAGTTGTCTGAAAGGAATTTGCTCTGTTCTGTGCAACGTTTTGTATCCAAGTATGTTTTTCTATGTGAGTAGCACAAACTTGAATGATGTACTGGTGATTTGGTGAGAGAATATGGAATCTTGATACAAGTGTTTCCTTTGCAAAACCCAACAGATAGTATGATCAGCAAAATGTTAGGTTCTCTGATCAACACTCCTCTTCATGAGCACAAAGGAGCCCAGTGGCACAGTGAAAAGTAGGGGAACCCCAGTACGGTACCCAGAGAAATGAGCTCCTCCCAGGACTGTCCCAGGACATCAAAAGCCCCTTGGCCAGCAGGTCGAGGGAGGGGATTCTGCCCCTCTACTCTGCCCTGGTGAGACCTGACCTGGAGTGCTGCATCCAGCTCTGGGGTCCCCAGCACAAGAAAGACATGGACCTGTTGGAGCAAGGCCAGAGGAGGCCACCAAGATGATCATAGGATAGAGCATCTCTCCCATGAGGAAAGGACGAGAGAATTGGGTTTGTTCAGCCTGGAAAAGAGAAGGCTCAGGGGTGACCTAATGGTGGCCTTCCAGTACCTGAAGGGAGCCTACAAGAAAGATGGAGACTTTTTACAAGGGCATGTAGTGTCAGGACAAGGGGGAATGGATTCAAACTAAAAGATAGTAGGTTTAAATTAGATATTAGGAGGAAGTTCTCTGCCATGGGGGTGGTGAGGCACTCGAACAGGTTGCCCAGAGAAGCTGTGGATGCCCCATCCATGGAGGTGTTCAAGGCCAGGCTAGATGGAGCTCTGAGCAAGCTGGTCTAGTGGAAGATGTCCCTGCCCATGGCAGAGGGGTTGGAACTAGGTGATCTTTAAGGTCCCTTCCAACCCAAATCATTCTATGATTCTGTGATTCTGTGGCAGCCATCACTGTGAATTATGTGGGTTACTGCCTACAGGAGTATGACACTCCTGGGACATAGGGGAAGAGCATTTTGTGATGGCACAAGACCAAAGGCAAAGAAAGGGATGTTTGTCTGGGGAGTAACAAAGGCGGAGAAAAAGAAGGATAAGATAAAAGAGGCAGGTCAGCTGTAAATAGGTTGCTGGTCAGTAACACTTGTTTGGCTGTGCCCTGCAGGTACCTCATCACCATGGTCTGTCCTGTCTTCTCATTAAACTTCTGCTGGGTGCCAAGTCCTCATGCTCTGCTCATGAGGGTATAAGTGCCAGCCATCACAGAGGGGACCACAGGTCATGAGGCTGGAGAGACTGGAGCGTGCCCGTGTTGTGTGGGTCTGTGTGTGGTTGCCAGCAAACACCAGGGCACACCAGCCAGCAGGATGAGGGGCTGCAGAGCAACCATAATTTTGGGAGGCATACTGGAGTGATCATAGATATATTATTAAAGATACAATCAGTGTACTTAAATTTATTTTTGAAGTATTAGATGTGAAATCCATTAAGTGTAGTAAAAGCAAGCCAGGAAGCCTAAGAAATGACAGGAAAGCAATGTCACATTATGACCACTGTACTCACTTTCTGCACAATGTCAGTGCTTCTGAAATTTAAGAGCAAAAGGTGAGGAAAAACAAAACAAAGAAACCCCAACAAACCAAACCCATAGCAACTGAACAAAAACTTTCTTTACTTTTAGAGAAAGAACAAAAGGTCTTCAACCCCTTTTCAGTCAGACCCCCAACACACTAGGGACTAGTATAACTCCTTACTGTATGAATTCCCTTTTTGCTTCCCTATACATTCAGTGTTTTACAATTCTGTCCCAAAGGACAGTGATAAAAGTGGCCAATGCTTTACCTGGAGAACATTCCTAGCTAAAAAAAAAGTTTTTAAAACATGTTCTTAACTATTCTAAATTACTTATGTAGGCGATGGTTTTCTGGTATCCAGATGCAGGTAAAATAATAGAGGCCAAAATAAATTATGATTTTTCCTGCAAAATGAGTAAGACTAAATAAATAACTTTCCAAAATTGTTAGATTTGTCAGAAAGAACATTCTGAGTAGTAATAAAATTCTATTTTATTCATTTATGTACAGAAAAAACCCTTGAAGCTAAACTTTTAGGTATGGGAAAAAAACTGATGAAGAGTTAATTCTCTGTATTCTTCCATCCATCTAGATCACTAAGTTTTATGCTTCCTGGTAACATTTCCCTGAGAAAATCTTGAGGAAAAAAACCCACAAGAACCAGTAATGTCTTTTTTATTAAAATACTCATCGTCATAAAATACACTGAATGTTGTTGCTGTATGACATTTGCGTACACACAACACTTACAGCAAACTCTAGACAGCATCAAGAATTACAAAAATAAGGCAAGCCCCAGAAGGTGTGCATCCTCACTACCTCCTCTCAGGCCACTACACATATAACCATGTTTACATTTATATGCCGTTCCCCACAGTGTTTTCTGGACACCTGTTGGGTCAGTCCTCCTGTCCCTCCTGCTCCCCTTGACTTGACCTCACAGTGAAAATTCTGATGATGAAAATGGAGGCGGTGTCAGATCCGTGGGGCAGCAGGTGCTGACAGAAACGTCAGCGCTGTTTCTCCCCCAAGAAGATTTTGAGCTACCACAGTATTCCAAATAATTTAAGACTGCAAAAATCCAGAGCATGCTAATGACCTGCAGCAACGCTTGCTTACTATGTGTCTTCTATCTCGGTCAGGAATGATGATGCATCACCCTCCAGCTACAAACAGTCACAGCTACTCTAACATATTCTTCTCCATCCATTTTAAGAAACTCTGGCAGAAGAAAAGATAACATGAACTGTCAAATATAGGAGGAACAACTCCTCCATGATAAGCTAAGTTTTTCTATTCACGTCTATGACCTTTTATCACTTAATTGCAAGTTTAAAGTACAAAGACATTCCATTATCCACTAGTTCAAAACAATAACATTCATCTTTCAAGTACTGTTTTATAGGTGAAAAAGACACTGAAGAAAGTAACATCATTTAACAAGAGTAGATTTTTTTATTATTATTATTATTATTCATCTTATTGAAAGAACTGTATAATGAGAAAAATTAAAAAAAAAAACATTCAGGCAAACTTTTCAACAAAATAAATGTAAAATGACTGCTTTCATTTGTACATGGTACAGATAGACAGGTGTGACTAGAAAACAGTTTAATCCCTCTAGACTGAGGTTAGAGAGAGAAAAATGAATAGTCAAATTCTTTTTTGTATGTGCATATGCATATATGCATAAAAAAAATTCAAGGAGTTAAAACCTACATCATTATAAATACCAAAAGCTGATCATTAACTACTCATAGACTTTATTCTTGTACTTAGTACCATTATCAGCGGAGCCCTTAACTGGGTCATAGTAACTGCTATGTAACTGCCAACATATAAAAACTTTTACTTAGAAAAATGGACAATGTTCTTAACTCAGAGCATTCCAACTTTGCCTTTGCAGATGCATATTCCCTTCTTCATTGACAAGATTTCATGGGGAAAAAAAAATTAATAATAACATTTTGGAATAAATATTCTCAGCAAACTACTAAAAGGGAACATGCTTGCTGCCAGCTGCTCAGCTGTAACACTTGCTCATTCATGGAATTTCATTCTTCTTTATTCCTTCAGTCATTAAATCCATCATAACCTTTCATGTTTCCTTTACTGGACTGAATGTTCAGGGAGCAAGCAACCCTAGAGAACAGTGCAAAAGGCGGGAGATGCTACTGCACTTAACAGCTTTATTTTGGAATCTAAGAGAAGACTGAAAAAATTACTTTGCTTAACACATAAATTATGTAACATAAGCCCAAATGTACTTGCAATAGCAGGGCAAATGAAACTTGGAAGAAAAGTGTCCCTACATAGTGTTTTGTTGGGCGGCCCTTCTAAGAAGTTAGGATTTTATCCATGACAGCCCATGCATGGAAGAGAAAGCATGAATTTTTCTTTTTCCCCAAATACCACTTTCACAATAGAAAGCAAAGCTCAAAAACTGGAAGATCATAAAGTTAAAAAGCAAAACAAGAAACCAAACCCCCCAAAAAAGCTCCTAAAGAACAACCACCCCCCCTTCCAACCTAGCAGCCATTTATTTACTTGTTGAACTTAGATAATGGAAATCTCATTACCATATTCTTAATGTTTCCCTACTCTAACCTACAAGATATATTCTGAAAACCAGTACAGTCAATACTTTCAAATCAAAGGGAAACAATCAGAACAGCAATGATGAGCATGACTGTACCATTCGAGCAGAAATAAAGAAAAATAAGTTTTAAACACAGTTTTTAAACATCTACTAGTTAGCCTCGTTTATGTGAACTTAAAAAAAAAAAAAGAAAATAAAGTTTTCAGATTTTATACATCTTTTTTTTCAACCAGGTGCATTTAATTGCAACCAGCAGGCACTCCACCAAAATGCGGTATTTGCAATCCCTGACTCTTTAACTGAGAGAGATTACTTTGGCCTTAGTATCGCTATATTACAATTTTCCTGCTTCAAAACATGCAGTTCATACATTTTACAGTTTTGCTGCCATAGTCGATGCATTCTGGCCCGATACACTCACAGCAGGCGTTGTGAAACCACCGGTATTTGGAAGCTCCCATGGACTCGCAAGAGATCTTGCACTGATGTATTGACATGCAGTCATCAAAATACACCACAGTACACATGTGTTCTAAACCAAGAGGGGGGAAAAATTTGATTTTAAGGTCTTAAAATATTTTTAAAGGTTAGGTAAAAATTAATTGAATGCGCAGCTTTAGAAGTAGGATTGCAAATCAGCATGACTATGAGGCATAAGGAAAAAAAAGGTGACAGTAAAAGCAGAGAGGAGAGGCAGAGAGTCAAGGTACAACCTATCAGCTTCAAATTTTCAGCATCTACAACTCAACTTGTTGTCCGTTCTCCTTCTTCTTCTTACTTCTACAGTCACAGGCAAGAATGTTATTGGGTTTTGTCCCCCAGTTGTGAGGGATGCCTTCTAAAGCGTAAGGATGGGCTATGCCAAAATAATAAGCAGGCATGTGTCCTCTGAAGGTAATATGCTACCACGAAAAACCTCAGGTTTAGGTAAGTTATTTAAATAACACAAAACCCACTTATTTAGGTATAAATATTTCCTCCTCCCCCCTCCAAACTCCACAATACTCTTCAGCCATATTAAGCCACAAGTTGGAGACTCCTGTTTTCCTCAACATGAAACTGCACACTTTTTTCTTTTTTTTTTTAGCAACACCACCAGCTTTACCAAGATTAAGAAACCCCTTCTGCCTAAGTGTTGACTTCATGCTTTTAACATCCATGCAATTACTTCAAATGCCATGAAGTTTGGTGTTGCAACTTCAAACTGGAGCTGAGGAATTCATCGCAATTATAAAACAAAAACATTCCCCCCCCCACCTCCCACTCCAGTCTAATTCCAATTCTCCAGCTTTCTTCTGTGCTGACCGGGTGATTACACCACAAAACTTTGTTCATCCTCCAAAGGACTGTTACATAACCTTTACCCCCGCATAACTTGGTACATTTTGGGAAAATGGCAGCTGCCTGCAAACATGAACATCTCACTCGCACATGTCAGACCAACCTGTCAGCGGGAGAAGTCAACAGGCTTTCTAGCCTATTGCTACTTATGGTGCATCCAGTAGAAACATACTGATCCTATGTTCTGATGTGGATTAGAAAAATGTAATCCAAACATAAATGGTAAATCAAGACAGTGGATTTTTTGGGGTTTTTTTTGAATGATTATGGAGATATGAAGAAGGGTGAGTAACTGAAGGACTTTCAGAGCAGTGTAGTAGTTAACCACAGTGTTCCTTCAGTCTCTTATCTGTGATACCAGAACCTCCCCTTTAAAATATTGGTGCCCCATAGATTAGCAGCCTCAATAGTATGCATAACTCATGGCAAGCTCTGAAGGTGAGGTCCAAATCTGACTTGAGGCCAGGAAGGCCTCCATCACCTTACAAATCATCCGATCTATGCAGTCAGTTTCCCCAGTACCAACAATCTCCATGGTCCCCATGCTTTTTGGGCACATGACAAGGGATAACACAACATACAGGGAAGCAGCACAATGTACCCAACAGCTTTTCTGTGGATGCATCCTCCTCCTTGACATCTGGAAACCCTTCCTACCCCTTTCAGAACTGTCACTTGTTAAAACATATATGAGGGAACTCTGACCACTGTCAAACTATTTTGCAAGTACCAAAACAGCTGCAAGAGGGTCAGAGGATGTGCTGCCAGCCCACTGAAAGCAACAGAGTATTCACTGCCTTCATCAGTTTCCAAACTGCTGTACACATCTTGCAGACACCATATACAGTGCAACAGGCAATAGGGATCTTAGGGAGGAAATGCAGACCCATGGCTGAAGCAGTTTCTGCTCCCAGAAAAGCTGTGCTGAGTAAAGCTGCAGTTGTCCAAGAAATCTTGCAGTACCTGAAGTACTGCTGGAAATGTCAATAAAATGCACTATGGCTGTGTAAGTCCTGTCCCATTCTTGGCATTTCTATTTCTATAAGCCTTCATAATAAAGCCTGAGGCACAGCAACCAGAAGAAGAGAGTTTTCAGAGAACAAAACCTCTGCCTAAAACCAACCAACATATCTACAGCTTCAAGTAAGTAAAATTTATTCACAAAGGGGGGGACAAAAGAGCTAAATAGAAGCATATGCTAAGGTACCACGTGCACAGAGTGATAGGAATACACCTAAAGCACTCAGCCAAAGCTGAAAAGTAGTAGGGAGATGCAGCCACCACACCCAGAGGCCAGAGAGCAGCTCCATCTTTTATAGAGAATGCACAAGGACTTGGTAATGTTTTATCACCAGTGGCAAAAAGCTCAGATTGTCAGGATCCCAAGAAGGACCCATTCCCAGGAGGCCTAGACATTTTCAGAAATCTGTTCCTGTCACTCATCACAGGAGGTTTTCAGTGGAAGGGTAGGGGTGAGAAAGTAGAGGCAAGTCTCCAGGCAACATTCCTCATGTCCTTTCAGTCATCTAGTTCAGTGCTGGGGTGCAAGCACAGGAACTTTACAGAAGCCTCTGTAGGACATTACTCCTACAATTTATACCCTCTTGCTTAATCTCATTTCACTCTATTGATACCTTTTTAGTAGTTTTCTATTGAAACTTTACTACCTTATTACCTTAATATACCTTATTCATGTATTCCGTATGTAGGGTCAGTCCTAGAAGGTGTCAGCTGGAGGCACAGAGCCTCTACCTCCAAACAGGCAATCCTGGCTGATCCAGAAATATTTCTTCCTGCAAAATCAGCTTTTGAGATGCCATCCACCTGACTGACCTAGCCTCTGGATCAGCCTGAGAAAGCAAAATGACTTACGGCTATCTCTGGATAGCAGTGAAACAGCTCTTTAAAGGAAGCAGAGTCCTCTCCAAAGGATTGCCAGAAGTGCCCACTGCTATCTATTGATCACTGCACTCCAATTTGCAACACACAAGGGAAAGCCCATGGGAGGTCAGGAAAGCTGTGCACACTCTGAGGTGTGAGAGCTGCTTCCAGCACTTACAGGCTGTCTTCACATCAGAGAATGTCCAGTCCCCTCTGTGTAAGGAGACATCTGTGTTCACCTTCACGTCAACCTCATCTGTGACAGCCTTGTCAGTGTTAGCACTGGTTGAGAAGTCCTGGTGAAGCCCAGTTCATCAGCTAATGCCTGTTGAAACTTGAAATAAACTTCCTGGGTAAGAAGAACCTGTGATTTCCAGGATGTAAAGATCAATGGCACTGAACTGAGAGACTGAAGACATCTCTCAGGGTAAATGAGGCCGGAGGAGCAGCAGCACCTGGCCCTCAACTCTGACAAAACCAGGTGACATCAGTCAGAGAGACCGGTCTCCTTAACCACTCTTGCAGGACCAAAACAGGAACCAAAGCCAGAACTCTACCTTATTACAGTGGCAGCAGCAACCAAGGACATTAATCTTGACTAACTGGAGAGTGGAGAAGAACGTTTATTTCCATCTGCACACAAGCCAAGAGGATTAGGTCCTAGAGGACCGGTACAAAAACACCGTGAAGGGGAGAAAGTAGACTGTACATGGCAGACCAGAGCCAGCAGTAGGTCTGTCTGGTTCCCAGCAGCTCTTGTGAGCAGCTGGAGGACATGCTCCAGTATATGCTATCAAACTGCTTCTGAAGTCTCACTCACTGAGAGACTTCCCAGGTCTGAACGAGTCAGATCGGGCAGGGTGAACTTTGTTCGTCATGGGACGCTACTGGTCCCCTCCTCAGCAGCCTCTGTGTCCATGCAGAGGTTGAATTACTGAAAGCAGGAGAGTTCCTCATCTTAAGTATTAAATTCCGCTTTATAGGCTGAAGAAACAGAGTTACATAGGGGAAAAAATACATACCTAGAGGTTCAACTGGGACCCCAGAGTGTTTAAACTGTTTCACAACCTAATTACAGACTCATCACTTGGCTCCCTCAGTGTAGATAAAAACAATGTTACTTAGTGCAGTAACAGCTTTCTCATTTGCATTTTGCCAATCTTCACACACTAAGGGCCACAAACTACTGCTGTGGGGTGAGGGAAGGATGCAGCAGCAAACATTTTTTTTCCAAAACACGCATTTCTCAGTCTTTTTCCCCTCACAATTCATACTCAGCAAAGGGTTGTGTAGGAGAAACAACAATCAAGTCTAAATTAAAAATGATCAGAAGAAACTATCAAGCTTTGCTAAAACTGTCTGTACTGGTGTAATATGGAGGAATTTAGCAACTCAGAATATCAAACAATTCAGTTATTGTAAGTTAAGGAGAAATACCTACCTATAGGTTGAACAAACCTTCCCAGTGAATGACAATTTGCTCACTGTATGTGACCTTTGAATTTAAACATGCTATGTAACTTCAGCTGTCTGCTGGTCAGTTTATTGGTAGCTCTAAAAGTTCTTTAAAAAGGTAACTATCCATCCAGCTGTCATACCATTTTATCATAGAATGGCTTGGGTTGGAAGAGACCTTAAAGATCATCTAATTCCAACCCCTGTTCCATGGCAGGGGACATCTTCCACAAAAAAAAAACCCAACAACTAGTCAAGAGCAGTAGTGGGAAAGGAGGAAAGAGAGAATGAGGAGATCAATTGAGATAATCTACTAGCTTTGGACAAGTCAATTTTATGTCAATCAGAACTTATAAAAAGAAACATTTCTACAGATGCCACTTTACTGGATTTCTAGCTCTCCTCTATGTGGCTTGCACTGAAGGAAAGCAGAAATGCAGAGCAGACACTATCCTCTGTGTCACCAAGCAGTGTAAGTCAGAAACCCGTAATTACAACGCAGATTTCGTTTTATCAATTGCCAAAAGATTATCTAGTTCCCCTCTCTCTCTTGCCAACATCCTGTCATCATCTGAAACAACTAAGCTTATTTAAACATCTGAACTCACACTTTAGAGCTCTGAGGGTATCAGCTAAAAGTAAAGCAAAATGAATAAAGTACAAATGTAGCTCTACATAAATACTCATCACAATCCTCTCTGAAGTAGTGGCGCAAGTGCCAGAAACAACTGATACGAAGATCTACAGCGGCTCCAGCAGCGCACACATGACTGTGGCAGCTAAAACATTAAAAGTCAATTCACAGGAGGAAAGGGAAGACACTCATTAAGAAAATAACGGGGAAGTTCAAAGTCTGTTGGCTGGGCTCACAATAGGCTGGGGTGAGAAAGGAATGCTTTATATCCTACCACCCCCCTCCTCCTGGATCTACAGACACCTTCTGGGGGCTGGTGGCTTCACGCCACTCAGGCACAAAGCTCATGGATTCCTGTGGCTGGTGCTGCTTTTCCTGGACCTCACCCAGAACTGCACTGAGCAAATCTGGCACCCTGGGAGAGCTTAATGGCAATCCCTGCATGAACATGTGCTGAAATTAAAATCAGAGCTGTGTTACACAACATGTGACAAGAGGTACTTGTAAGCAGAGCCCTTCCAAACTTTGGGATGTATTCTAGAAGATAGTACAGAGACTACTGTCCCCCTACCAAGATCTACCTCTCATTAGCCCCTCTCCCTTTACACGCCACGCAATAGGCTGCTGCCAGCACACCATGTTGGAGTGAAGCATGCAAGGAGCCACAAAGTGGAGGAGACACAGCACTGTAAAGAAAGCACAAGGCATCTGTGTTTCTGCTCACAGGAATATTCTTTCAAATCCCTGACTGTCACAGCCCTGAGCGAGTCACCTTAAGGACATCTCCCTTTGCAAGATCTGCCTTTAAGCAGCACTTGTGAGGAGAAGGAAAGGTTAAAGAGATGGTCTGTTTCTCCCACTGCAGGGTATGCTTGTATTTACTGCCACTGAGCACACATACATACACACACACAGACCCACCCTCTCTTTCAGTGGTTCTTCTAACATTTACTAGCTTGTTAAACCACAGTGACCCAGTTGTGTGACTGAACTTTGCATGGGCAGAAGCCATCAGGCTCCAGCAACTTCCTAGGCTCCCTTGCTGTGCCCGTGCTGACAAGGCTCTTTACCCTATGACCTACTACCCCTCCACTTTTTGATTCCTGCTTCCCCAATGAACCCATCAAAATGTATTAAAAACAATGCCACCCCATGGCTCACATAACACTCCATACAATTCCCCAGTTGTCTTGCTTCCACCATAATAAATGTTAAACTGACCAAGCCAGGAGCTAATTTTTCTTTACACCTTCTCTGTTCTCAGTGCTCAAATCATTCATGTTTTTGTAAGCGAAGTTTAATATGACTTGTGAGAAAGCAGGTCACTACAAAGTTATCTACATTGTGACCAAGAAAAGAGACTCCTCAATAAGTTTACATATTTATCAAAGTATAGGATGTGGAAAGTAATTTTCTACCTTTTCTAGTTCTTCACTGGCCACTAAGATGGAGGAGGCAAAGCCAATGATTACAAGAACAGCTCTGACATTTATTTCTGTTTTAAGTTCCTGTTGCGGCCTGAAAGGCAGTGGCATTTGTTAACTATTTCCAAATATAACTAAATATAACTGTTGTTTTTGGACTGTCATCATTCCAGTGAAAGCTCTCTCAGCCTAATCTCTAAAGCATTCTTAGTAAATGAAATGAAGGAGACTTTTGACTAAGAAAAAACTGCAGTGTTATGTATTTGTGTTGTTAAACTCAAAACTGCTCCACACCCTTGAGATGCAATTCAAATTCCAAGTTTAATCCAAAACTATCATTAGCCCATCCTGTTGGTACGGTAGTAAAGGACGGCCATCTGGGCTGCAGTACCTAAGTACAGTGGGATATATTCAAGACTGTACTAAACATAATTTTTTTTCCCCAAGTATAATTTGCAACTTTAAGTACTGTAGTGTTTGCACACGGGGCTTTTTGAGGCTTGCCGTTTTACATGGCTTTTTACATCACTCTCCAATAATGGTGAGCAAGCATTTTAATAACATCAAAGACATATGAATGAGACACTTTCTGACCATCTGGTTTCCCCGTTCTGGAATTAATTTATTTTTCTAACATGCCTTAACCAAAGGAAATTAGAGAAGTTGCCATAACGGTTCCATTTAATCAACAGCAGTCCTACTCAGAAAAACAACTAGGTCAAAGGTTCACCTCGGCATGGAAAAGCAGCACGTCCATTAATTAGGGTATCTTTTATTGATAGGATAAAAGAGGCATCACAACTGCAACATATGGGGTTACGAACATTTGAAGTGTGTGTTGGGAAGGAAGCATAGCATTAATTACACTAATAAAACAAATCAGATGCTCTTTTTCCCCTATTAAGCAGCAATTTCATTATGAATTGTTTATGAGGTTCTTTTAAGTGTGATGTAATTATTTGCAGGGAAAAAATGTTTCAGGTTCAGTATGGAAACCAAGAAACAGAGTATTTTTCTCAAGCCACCTTTCATACTACCTTAAACTTCTCATCTTCCCCCTCAGCAAACACTATTCTGAAGTATGTCCTCTAAAACTGAAGGTAATCTGTCACTTATCCTTCCTCAGTCTTTATCTTACTTAGGTTTACTATTAATCCTGCATTTTGTACAAACCATCATTCTAAAGATTTCAAGTTATGCCAGCTCAGGTGAAAGCAATAAACAACTACTCCAGACAGTCACATGCCATAAGCTGTTATTTCTCAAACCTCTGAAGCCATGTTTCAGTTGCCTGCCTCTGCACTGCTACATCATTTGGATTCAGGTTCTGGTCTGTCCCATCTCCTAACTACAGGGAACTGCTTCCAGGTCAAAGAACGCACCTTGCCAGTGCACATGAAGTAACAAGAACAAATTGCCTCATGCCACAGGAGGAAATACAGAGATAAACTCATGTGGTTCAGTGTCTCCTAAGATCATCAGTCACTTTAACACCATCTTCCATGTTCCTCAACATTTTTCCTCACTCCTTTTGTTACGTTATCCTCAAAATTAGGCTGAATCTTTCACACTTTTTTACAGGAAAAGAAGAAGTGAGCACAGAGAAGCACAGAATATGCACTGAGAAGGCTCCTGGAAGAAATGAGAGGAAATGCTAGGAATTTAGACACTACACTCATTACCTTTGTCACTAGAGTAAGGTGTGTGGACGTTGTTGTTTGGAACAGAGACATTCTGATGCTGTGGCTGATTCACTGTTTCTAAAAAAGAAACGAGGTTCTCATGGTGTGACAGCTCTTCTGCCACAGGGAAGGAAACAATATTCCAGTTCAGCTGAGTATCCCCTTCTGTCAGTGCCCGGAAAAGGGAAGGAATTGGTTCATGCAACTCCTCGACAGTGCTCTTGGATGTTGGTGGTGTGTCACTGTAATTGCGAGGATTGCACATACCTGCAGATGAACAAAACAGTAAGTTACACGAAACTCTCTAACCTCTTATTCTTTAAACAGGCAGATATTTAGAAAATTAAAATTGCCTTTTTTTTTTCTGAACAGAACAGAACCCTTTTGTATATACCCCACTCTTAACCCGATAGCAGAAAACCACCAAATACAGCAGGATGAACTTCCCATAATGGCAGGGTTCAGATCTCTCAGACTTCCACAACACACACCTGTGACTTGTGAAAAGAAAAACCTCTTCTAAACAGCACTTTGCTTCCCCTGTAATGCTAGTATTACAGCTTAGAAAATAAAGAGTTCAATGGAAGGTTTGTTTTCCCTGGGAGAAGAGACAAAGCAAAGTATAATCAATCCTAGCATAAATCTGGAATGAAAGCTTAGGACTGAACAAAGGTAGTATCTTGACAAGTCCTGAGGTACACGAAACTTTTGATCACAATTCAAGTATTCCATCTCATCTGCTGCAGCAGTGCACTAGATCATTTTAGTCGTCTGCCAGAGATGCAAAGATCACTATCAGGAGGGAGTATGAGTCTGAATTACTTTACCTGTGTAGAGACGGCCGAGATGAACCTCGTTTCACAACTTATCTGGAGGGGTCACTACAGGCAAAATGCTTATTTCCGGGTTACTCCTTCTTTATTTTTCAACGTCTTCTGCAGTCTCTTTTTTGAAACCTTGTAATCTTTTTTTTTTTGTTTTGCCAGTTTCTACAAAATGTTTTTGTGATATGCAATGCCAGTGCCAGTTTTTCATTAACTGTTTAAACACTAACATGTCTAGCCATGAAACTGATTGAAACTTGATTTAATCCAAATATTGAAACAACCAAGATTAAAAAGAAAAGTTGTATCTGCATAGGTACTTAAGCCCAGGAGCCAATAAAAAAAACTCTATTAGAAGTCACCTGGTAAGAGGCAGACAAATGCATTTTCCTCACGTACATCTGGATATTGTTTGGGTATTTTCACAGACACAGTTTTAGACAGCTACAGCTGCAAAGCACACCAATTCTTGAAGTGTAAAAGTGATATGGGACATAAATGTTCAAAGTCTACCTCCCCACACAACCAGAGAAACACTTCCTAGCCTGTAGATCCACTAGGACTCCAGCTTCAGAAATAACTGTGTTTGACTAGAGCCTTATACAAACCCACAATCTTCTCAACCTAAGTAGGTGGATTTCCATAATGAACAAAGCAGAGGGAAGTTTGTCCATGATGATTAGCATGAGATCTGGCAAATCTTAAGCAAGTGGTTAGTATTACCAGCATTTAATCATAGGAACAACACGAGACAGTTTGCTCCTACAAAAAGGTGAGCCAAGTACTGGGTAGGAAAAAAAATAAGCCTCCCTTCCAAACAAGATCAGGTCACACTAAAAAATAATTCCACTTACACAAACTTCCTTCTGTAAATGATTATTTTCCTACTCCTCTCAACTGGGTTTGTTCTTCATGGACCTTCCTGGACTTATTGCTTTAACAAAAAATTTCTATCCCTGCATTGTCACCTTTTAGTAAGCACTAATATTAACCATACTTTAGTAGGCACTGTATTAACCATATAATTCTAATAAAGGATGCCCACTTGAAAATCAATTAGGAAGCTATCAAAGCAGGTAAGAGTTTTATACAGATACATGGAAGGATGTATAATTTAGTTGGTGTCATTGTATTAATGTTGTGAAATGGAAACCAGTGAGCCTTTCTAGAGGCTCACTAAAATAAATAAATTGATAAAAAGGACACACAGGTTAAAAAAAATCCTGCAGAAGGATCCAGTCATATTTTAAATAGGAATTATTATAAAATAGCAGCTTTGGCTAAAACAAAAATAAAGCTTAACTTATGAGCAACTGGTAAGGATGAAACATGTCTATACTACTGCTTTGGAATGGATGAGAAGATGCAGAAATAGGCTACTGAAATGATGGAAGCAGACAGGCCTTTACAAGAGGGACTAAAAGAGCTTAACTCAAAGGAAAGAGAGACCTGTTGCTGTTCCTTTTCCTCCAGTGTCTTTTTCCCTGTCTGAGAAGGGAGAGAACATCCACACAAAATATGAGGGCATCAACTGAGCATCTCTAAAGTAGGTAGGGTAGGGTAGGAGGTAATTCCTAACCTCAGGGCAGACATGACCTGAAAGACACAAAATCTATCTGCTTTTACATTAGACATGATCAGCTTATAAAGAAACTTAAATATCAGCTCAAGTATCATCAAAGAACTGTCTCTAGGAAGCCAGCTATAGCATGCTTTCCTGTTTGCCTATTTGAATAAGGCTACAGCAAGGATGACCCTACACTGAAGAGAAGAAGAATAGGATCATGCCATAGAAACAATGAGATCTGAGACACCCACAGGACCATCAGGAGATGTTTTAGTTTATTCAGTGTTTGGAAATTGAACCTGAAACCTTGTTAACTCCTCTCCTGGAAAATACTATGAGGAAGAACAGCAGAACAGTGAGCCATCTGCAGATTTATAAAAAAAGTTTGTGTGTGGACTTCACTTTTTTACTTCACAATCCCAAGAGGTAGGTTGTTCCTCTCCCTAGAGACTGGCACACAAGCCTTGCTTGCTACAGCAGATGATGGTTCTACACCAGGGAAATAACCTACTATCCTACTCCTCGTCGCTATGACTGAAGATGACAACAGCGCACTTCAATACTGCATTACGAAAAATTTGATGACCCTGGAAGGGCAAAGGGGAAAAAAAGGGGATATATATAGATACATATTTCACTTCTTAAGGAGCCCAAGATCAAACAGAAAAAACAGACTCTAAGGCCTCTTTCTAAATGCATTCTCCACAGGTGCAGTATATCCTTCACAGGGGCAGGGGCTGAAAACACTTTATGCCACTGGGAAGAATCACACATGTACAGGACCATGCCACCCCACTGCTTACTGAAAGACAGTAAAGCAAAGCTAAGCTAGCCAGAACCAAGCAAAAAAGGGGATGTCAGGAAGCAGATTCACATCATTCTGGAACAGGAGAAGCAATAGACTGCACTGAAAATGGGCATTTTGACACTAATAACCTTCATGAATTCAGAGAAAACCCACCAGGAAAAGCTGAGAGCAGGTACAACACTCAAGATGCATCCCTTTCATGGAAGCCAAGATTTTGAGTGGCATCACAGGAAGACTTACCGCAACCACAGGAGGATGAAGCTTTAATTAAACTTAAATCATAAGACAGAACATACAGTCTCCTTAAGCAGGAGCAGCATCCACTTGTAAATGGGCACTCTGAACACCACCTTTTAGTAGCAATGTGTTCTTGTTAAGACTATCATCTAGTCCTACAGTAAGACCTTGTCTGTTTCTTTTTTACCCTCCACAAAGAGGTCTTTTTTCAAGAATGGTGAAAACACTGGGCTGTGCCTATTTACTACTAGTCCCAGCTCAAACCTAAAACTGCCCCTGTGTGGTACCTGTCAATACACTTTGCAGGTAGAAACCTTCACACAGCATCCAACCCCACGAAGGAGGCACTGTCTAGTTTCCTCAAGGTGACAATTCAAAATGGAGTTTTTTGTTAGAGAGTGTCAGCTATGATGACATTAACCAGGCAAAACCTGGACTACTGCCACCTCCCACTCCACAGAGCAGATACAGCCTTCAAATGTTGGATCTCCACAGTAATTTATTCTGTACCCACAAAATGAGCTGTAAAATGTTTAAAGCACAGATGCTGTCACAATGTTTTACTTCTATTTTAAGACTGTGAGCTCAGCATGTGGCAGGAGAAACCAACGTAAAAAAAAGAAGAAAATTAAAAAAAAAAAGGCAAACTTACCAACGCAGTCACAGCACTCATCCCAAAGTGTGCCCAGGCAGAGCATGCACTCCTTACAGCAGGAGCAGTTCCCTTCCCCAGGGCGGCACTGACACAGCTCCTGGAAACAACAGGCATTCATTACACTGCAGCAATCCCAGATGCAAAAGAACTACACAACAGAGCAATTCTTCCTCAAGCCGCAACTCCAATTAGGGCATTAAAAAAGCTTAGTGCACTAATACAGTGAGTAAACGGTAAAACAGCTCCAGCCAAAGAGCAGATCTGAGCCTACAAAAGGATCTTTTGCAAGTTTGCCCCCCCTTTTTTTTTTTAAAGGTGACATTCTGAAGACAAATCTGAAGTCAGCATTTAAAAGCAAAAAAAATCCTATTCATGGGAAAGGCGTGTGCCCTTCTGTGTATGCCTGAATCTACAAGTTCTTTGGATGTTCTTCCCATCACAACTAGAAATTCAAAGAGGGGTGTTTCTTTATGTATAAATAGTGAGCCCACATTATAATTTAGTCAAAAAAGAAAGTTACTATAAGCCTGACATGCATACTCAGGATATACACGATATCTACCATCCCGTCTATGCATGGATTCTAAAAGGAACTTACTCAGTTAAGTCATTTGATAATGGGATTTTCTGCATCTCTGAATGCCTGTTACACACTGGTCTCCATTTGCAATATTAGTGACCAGATTACTCCTGCCCCAGGTCCAGCTAATTAATTTTTGCTATTATGAAAACAACCCTATGCTTCCTCCCCTCAAACCGACACCTTGGGATATTTCCAAGACTTCTAGAGACTCTAGAAAGTGAAGTGGCATACACACATATTTTTCTTTAATTTTTCTTTTATTAAGCTAAAAAGGTGGAAAGGGTATGGAAGCAAAAAGACATCTTCATACTACCTAAACCCAAAGGCACTGGTTTAGCAGTCCTGGTGGAGATATACAGTGGTGGACCTCAAAGCATGGAAATAGCCTACGTGGATGAAGGAAATTTAAAAACCAGGCGGTCTCCTTCCCTCTAGTTTAAATCCATACTCGTAATTCCAGTTTGGCCAAAAGATTGTGGCTACATGACAATAATTCACACACTTGAATTACATCATAGTGTGAAACACGGACAGCCAAGAAGTCACTTTGGTTGTCCTGTCTAAGAATTTGGTTTTGATGACGTCTGTCTAACTATCATGTTACATACAATTGGTGAGAAAATAAAATCCCATTACTGGAAACACTGACCATGGGATCCTTCCCACCCCTGTCTTTACTGGAAGGGCTATCGGCAAATCTCTGCTACGCACCAGGCGGGGGGAGAAGACAATGCCCATCCCCACTCTTTGATCCCATTCTCCAGAGACAGGGGAGGGACACACTGCAGTGTGGTCAGGAGACGCACATGGACAGGAGGGAAGGGCAGGAAAGTGGTTTGGTTTGAAATTCTCCTATCCTGGAGTCACCACCCATGGTTCCACCTCTGGTAACCACAGCTGAGTCAGGGACACCACTCCTTACAGGCAGACACCCACATCACCCGTTAAGTGTGGTTTCTTTTTGAAGCACCTTGGGAAGAAGCTGATGAGACAAAATTCCATTTTTTAAATAATTCTTTGTTTGCAACTGTTAATAAGCCTCAAGTAGCAGAGAAAGGAGGCATATTTATACCAAGTGTCAGGAGTATGTTTGCTAGGCAAGGCAAGGCACAGATATGCACCTGATTGTGTACAACCCCTGTTCTCTCCTTAATCTGCAAAACTGGCAATTGCAAACATCTGGGGCCTGTTCAGTTGCACAGGGATCACCCCTTGCTCACACCAACTCGCAGGGGCCCACAGAAGACCAAGAAGTGCATTTCGAATGGTGAGGCCAGAAGGCTGGGGACAGGCCTTCAGAATACAGTAAATGAAGCTGCAAAGCTCTCAGTTCTGGATTAAAACTGAACAAACACCAAAATGTGCTGCAGACATGCTACAATTTACTAATGCAGTATAAATCCATTGATTCCTTATTATTTCACTCACTTCACCCCAGATCCCAAATCTTCTTGAAGCCAGCAAAGAAACAAAATTCACCTACTACTGCTTGTGCTACGTAATGCTGAGAAACACTGTCACCTGCATAGTTTAATGTGAATTGTTTGCCCTGTTGACTGATCAAGAGTGAACTCCTGCTCCACACACATTTCTGCAATATGCAGACTTTGTAGGCATTGAATTTTTACTTACAGAGAGGAAAACTACCAAGGTTTTTTACTTTTTCATCCTCAAAATTTATGAATGGCACCTATTAATATGCTGTTTCCAAGAGAAAGATGAAAACAAGGCTCATTAATAAAATATACACATTTTTCCACAAGAGGAAACACCACAAACTTAGAAAGATGACTTATGTGAAAGAATGATGTGTTTCTAAAATATTTATCTTACTGTTCAATAAACAGATTTTGTCAGTCTTTAGAATAAAAAGCTTGAATAAAACAACTTTAAAAATAACCACGAGTACTGTTACCTTGACCAGAGAATAATATTAATATATATTAGCATTAAAAATATCCTATTTATTTATTCTTCAACAGTAAAACCGGGCAAACAACTTTATATTTATTAAAACATCCACAAGCCAGGACGTGGGAGGAGGCAATTCTCCATAAACTATTACATGTAACACATGAATTGAAGCCAGAAAATTCACTGAACTTGTTTCAGTTTTATAGAAGAGTGTTCTCCAAGAATTAAATGTAACTTTAATTCTGCACTTGCAACATATTAACAAAAAATTCTGCTTAGCATCTGTATGCGTGAGCACTGTCTTGGGGATAGCGTCATTACACCTACCGGTATTTTAAGAAGTTTGTTTTCATAGGAAGGGCTTATGAGCAATATAATTTTTTTTTAATTATTATTTATTTATTTCAGACTTGGAGGGAGACGAGGGAAGAAAGAACAATCTAATTAATTAGTCTTCCACCTCTTCAAGGCAAAAACTGTATGTTCTCTCATATATGTGTTTGCACATACATGGTTTCCTTAACCACTTTTTGAGTCCTTCTGCCTGACTCATCCACACTGGATACTGGTACAGGATACATCTTTGCAAAAGAATGCTTACATGAGACGTGGGTGAAGAGAGGCAGAATGAGAAACGTTCCTTCTTGATAGCTGGGGGTGGTGAGGTGTCAGTCAAGAAAATATTACTCATAAGTCAGCTTGGCAAATCTGCAAGCTGAACTACTGAGGGTGCATTGGAGAATCTATTTTGCTAGGCAAGAAATAAAGCCTCACAGTCTAAAAATACAGCATTAAATAGGAAGCAGGCATGTTTGTACAATAAATATACTTCTGTCCCAGAGAGCAAAAAAAGGTTTCTACAAGAGATTTAACATCTGCATTTTGGAGATGCTTTCTTGGAATGACAGAGACTATTTTCTTAGTGCAGGGAGAAGCAGGACCTGAAGGCATTGGAAATATCTCCGCAAACTGGAAGAGGGAGTGCAAGAAAAAGAGCTAGCTTTTTTTTCCTAGAACAGTTTAATAACAGAAAATCTCCTGGAAGCAAACCAGCCAGAGCTGTTTTGTTAACCCAACTGCGTTACGTACATACATGCTGAAAGCAATTTTTAGATGCCTAAGCCCTGAAGTTAAGGAGTGGCATTTATTTCATACCACAGGGCTAAAAAGTCTTGGAAATCCTTTCAGGCTGACAAGTTTGTACACACAATTAATAGGAGGCAAAGAAGACAAAGACAAAAAGAGATTTTAAATCAGAACAACACTGCACCAGCTGAGGTGGTTGCAGGTATGTGGCATTGGGGAGAGAAAACCCTGAAAAACAATCCCTCCTCAGAAGGATCGGAAATCCATGCCTGAATTACTGCTGTGTGTTTCCCACACACAGCAGTAGTTTAAAGAACTGTTGCAGATGAGAGAGCAAAGCTCAGCTTCCTGCCCAGCATGGACATCCCACCCCAGCCTGACTCCTGCAGGTAGCTCTGTGCCGCAAGAACCAACCTGGGACTCGCCTCAAATCCATTTGCTATGAACAGTTGTGGGAACGTCCCATCCTAGAAGTTTCTGCCTTCAAGGACTTCCTCCATGTTGCAAGGACACAATACATGCCTCTACTCTGCCCAGCGAGTGTAACTGGCCTTTTCATCTTCTCCACACATGGAAACAACCCACGCTTCCAAGTCAACAACAGATGTGCCACAGTAAATACTGCAACACGCACATTGTGTGCAGCCAGGGCTCGGTGGCCCACCTGAAAAGCGAGGCAACAGCCATTTATTGACTCCAACACCCCAATCTCATCTTCACAGGAAGGAGCTATGTCCAGAGCTTTCAAAGGAACTAACTTTGTGGACCCACTCACTGCACTCCCAAGTCTTCTCACAACTCCTTCAACAACTACAGGAAACCACAGTTTCTTTGTGAAGGCTGAACTTATGCAGAGAGATGCCTCAAGCTATTTTCTTACAGTTCTTTGCTTACAGAAAAAAGAGAAACACCAATGAAGCTAGAGCCTCAAGATGTAAAGGGAAAGCTGAATCCATGTGAGTTGTTGATCTCATGCACTGTTCTGGATCTAACAAAATAAATATTTATGTAGGGACCACCCTTAAGCAGAGCAGCTTTTAAGGAGTGGCAGTAATGACTGTAGTGACTTCTAGCCATGCTGGCAAAAATATTTATGTTAACCGTATGCTTTTTGAGAGAGCACGTTTCTTGCATCATTATGTCACCGGGACAGGCAGCCTCGCTTTCTGTGCACAGATGCAGATGACAAACATCCACAAGTTGTTTGCTCTCCCAGTTGTCTCCAAGTGGCATTATCTTGGTATCAAGACATGGATTTTGCTGAATTTGAACAGTGATAAAAGTCAGTGAAGGAAAAACGTCACGTGATAGCCAAGCAACCTCGCTAAACACAGTATTTTATTTTTAAGTTCAGATTTTTCCAGAAGAGTTTGGAGGGGGAAAAATACATAGATATAGTCTACTGGCATACTTCTCCAGGAAATAACATGCACTTCAAATAGCAGTGCAGTGCTTCTGCCACAACACTGCTGAAGATTTAAAACAAACAAACAAACAAAAAAAGGCAAGAAGAAAGATGACAATTGCTTTAAGTCAAAGCTTTAGGATACTTCATATCCACAATCAGACTAGTCTGACCTGATCTGTTCTTCTGTAAAGAATGAATACTGACTGGTAAGTCAGGCCTGTTTGCAGGAAGACAGCAGCCAGACAGTGGAAATGAACAGTGTAATTCCCCTGCAATAGCACACAACTCACATGGCCTGCGCTACTTCAGGGTCTCAGAGAATTGCATATGATGTGGATTTTAGGGAAATGCTTTAAAAAGGGACTCCACATCACCTGTACAAAGTAAGAGGGAACACACCTACCAGTGGTCTCTCTGCATGCGCAGGGCTCTGTTGTCACAGAGATGCCAACATAATCCAAGTTGTGTGCACAACTGATAAGCACAGTTGTATGAGCCACCCCCACGCAGTGCTGAGTCTCAGCCATTTATTGACAGCTGAGTAAGGACTCCAGTAGAACTAACTTCACTCCTCCTGGGCTGTACTTTATTCAGACTAGTTCATAAAAATAAAGTCTAAATGTTGTCTGTCTCAAACGTGACTGGATAAAAAATGATTACTTGGGAAGGAGATGTCTGTGCTTTAATGGATGGTGGACTCCCATCACTGGCACCAGAAAAGGAGACACTACATCTTCCCTGTTCTCCCTTTTGCTTACAGAGAAATAAGTAGCAGACCAACAGCTTCCAGGACCAAAATCCAGCATCTGGACCAACAGTTTTCCCCTGAATCAATAAATCTGTAGCATTTACTATTTAAGTGCCTTGTACATCCAATGCCATACTTAGCATGTTACTTCCTAAAGATTTCAATCCTAGAGGTGATTTTAAAAAATGCAAGAGAAGGGACTTACAAGCACATCAGTTTGTCACAGTATACAATGTCCAACACGCCAACAAAACCACTGGTGTTCTGTTTGAAAGGGTAAAAATCAGAAGCCTCTTTCTTGCTCCTGTATTTAACAACTCCACAGACTGTGGTGGGGCTAGAAAAAGCAGAATTTTTTTTTTATATATATTTAAAGCAATGACAGTGCAGAAGCCAGAGAGTTCAGCCTACAGTCAGCCTTTGTTCCATGGAATGGATTTGTGAATCTGGCAAGTATTTTTATTTGTAAACCAGGCAAATTTTAAACGGAAGTCAATAAAATGAAGTAAACATGGAAATGCCTCAGGCCACTTCTGCACCTCTTTTTAGGCTGTGACCATGCATTTACAGTAAGCATTAGCAAGTTACTGCCATATGACATTTGTGCTCTCCGCTATTGTTTTTCCAATCTACAAAGAGGCAGAAGGAAACAGTTTCTTTTAAAGAAGCTGCAGCTGACCACATGAAGCCTCCTTTTCTTCAATCTGGAGTTAAGAAGAGTGCTCTGTATACCATATAAATAAATACTTGGTAGTTATCAGAACTGCTTGCCCTTTTGCTCTGCTGCACACCATACCCCTTAACTCCTGCTCTAAGAAGAACAATCTGGTCTCAGTCTGTTTTTTTCACTGCAGACAGACACACAGTGTGAGTCAAAAGCAGCATCTGGATTTAACATCCATTTCCTACCAGTTCAACTCATAAGTATTTGGCTTGGTTTTTAGGCATCTTTTAATTGACTGTACAAACCTGATGTTATAGAGATCATGAGGCATCAACTCCTGACCCTCTGCCTGAGATTTAAGGAAGTGGACAAATTGCAAGTTAAGGGGAACATCTCAGACAGATATGGGAAGACTATAAGCTTTGAACATTTGAACTCCTGGTATTGCAGATAATCCCCTTTAAAAATGACTGTTGCCCACAGCAACTCTTCTAATAAAATGTCTGTTTCAAATTGCTGCTTATTCATAATAATCACTAATAAAGAAGAAAGAGATTGAAAACTAACAGTGTAACTCCTAGTGGCGTCTACACAATAACCCAGCAACCATTGTCCTTGGCTTGAAAAAGTTTCCATCATAAAAAAGACACATGCCCACATAAAGATGCACTTGGTATCATCTATCTCTATAAAATAAATGGTTGTTAATCTGCACTTTATATGGGCAAGAGACCAAATTAACTTCTTTAAAGAGGCACTACTTAATATAAAATACCACTTATTTGTATCACTGGATCTTTTCAAGACACAGCTTTGGAACTGCTTCTTGAACACTCAAAAGCAAAGAAAGGAAACACGACTTTACCTGTATCAGGCATTTACTGACGTCGCTGGCACAGAGAGCCTTATTGCAGCCTGTTGACGACTGGATCCACAGCAGGAACAGAAGGACAGTGACCGTGGGCGCCGTGACGTACTGTGACCTCATGTTTCCTGCAGGTGAGCAATTTTCACAAGTACTTGAACCAGCACTAAAATAAAAACTAGCAACTGAAAAGGCTATTGGAACACAAGCTAAATCCTACTTCCCTTCCCCCCTTGCAATTCGTTCAATAAAGATGAGTATTTTAAAAAAAGGTCAAATTGGGGTGCTTATAACAACAAACCCAGCCCCTCCTCCACCAGCTAATTTGTTAATGAAAAGCTTTCTGCTATTGCACCTCTGGATTACAATTGCCACAAATTTAAGGTGAACAATCTCAAGTTTGCAATATCAAATATGATACCCTATAAGCAGCAATGCTAAAAAAATGCCTCAGATGAGAAAACCCACCAATGAAGACCTAACTCTGTAAATACCTAAAGTAGACAGATTGGTTTCATGTAGTATCTCCTCAGGCTACAGGTACACACAGGTGTCTAGGACATACAGCACCGTTTTACGACAAGGTAAGCTGCCCTGCGATCTTTAATGCAGACAGGCAGCTGTTTTCACACTGACAGTCAGATGTCACGTAGGCTTTCAACTCAATCACAAAGTTGTTAACTTCTTTTTTTTCTTAAAAAAATACAGACAGCAACATTAAAAAAGAAAAAAGTATCAGACACTTTGAACAACACAACTTTCAAGAGCCACGCAAGTGACTGAAGCCAACGAGCATCTGCTACTTCAAACAGACAGAGGAACTGGGTTTGTTCAAAGCATTCCACCTTTCTCCCTTTGTGAAATCCCAGCCTATCGGCAGGTGGTATTTGTGACAAATGTATCACGATTAGCAGCGTGCCACTGAGTTTTTCCTTGTGCTTAGCATTTGAACTCAGTCAAAAGTGGACCTTATTGCACTAGGCATTGTACCAATACATAATAAAAGGCAGCCCATGTTTGGGCAAGCTTACAGTGAGCCTGTATTGTTCTCCTAAGACAGAAAAAAATGCTAATGGGGCACTGGATTTCTTTCTTTTCGTATCTAGAAATGTTCTTATGTTTTATGAATTAAAACCCCCAACAATTGCTCAGTGAGCAATATCCAAACACAAAAATGTAGAAAACCAAGCCAACACGTGAAGAAGGCACGATCTGGACATTTAAGGCCTGCGTTCGATTAGTCTTTCTTACAATGGTTATTAAATGCCTGTGAACCTCGCTGTGCTGGGCACACTGCCATCTGTACCCAAGCAAGGCTGGGGGGACCCCCCTGCAAGGCCGGGGGCACGCACGGAGAACACGGGATCTCTCCACTCAGCTGGGGGTCACCGCTCAGCCTTCCAGCTACCCGGAGTCAAGAAAGTTTCCTTCCAGCGGGAGCCGCCGGCCCAGACCCGGCGGGAGCCAAGGCAAGCACGCTGCTTGGTGAGAGGAGGGATCCCGGCGCGCTTCCCCGCATCCCGCACCGACCAGGGGCTGCGTCACATAAAGAGTCCGGCGGAGCGGGGCCGGAGCGATGCCATGTCCCCGCGCACCCGCTCGGATGCGCTGCCGTCCCCGGTGCCCGCTCCCCGGCCTCCCCCCGCCGCTCCAGTTCCGTTTCGCCCACCGCCGCTTCCCCCCAGACTTTCATCCGGCGTGGCGTCCCGCTGGAGGGGTACCCCTGCCGGCCGCCCCTCCGCTCCCGCAGCCCATCCTGGCGGCACCGGCTCAGCATCGCTCTCCCTCACGGCCGGGATCGCTCCCGGGGCGGAAAACACTCGAAACCCCCCTCCGGCCGACCGACTCGCGCTCGCTCCCCGAGAGGCCCGGGCCCCAAAGATGGCACTACCAGGGGCCGGGGAGGCCGGTGACAGGGAGGGGGAAATGTGGGAGAACACCCCCCGCCGAAGCGGCCCGGGCAGGCGGGGCCCCCGCAAGGGGAGCGGGTCGCCTCCTCCTCCTCCTCCGGCAGGGGCAGGCAGCAGCACGGCGGCCGCGCCGAGCCGCACCCGAAACTTTCCTGCCACAGAAGCAGCAGCCACGGCTCCACAGCTGCCGCCTCCTCCTCCTGCTCCTCCTGGCCACCGGCTCCATCCCCCCGCGCGCCCCCGCCCGCTCCCCCGGCGGCGCTCACCGGGCGGCGCCACTCGCCGCGCCTCGCGCTCCGCAACGCTCGCGGCTCCGGGCGGCGCTCGGCAGCAACCCCGCGGCTCGTCCACTGCTGCCTCCCCGCCAGCGGACAGCGCAGCGCGGCGGCGGCGCCATCATCGCGCCCCTGGGGCACCGTCAGGCGCGGGACCCTCCCCCCGGGACCCTCCGCCCCGGCGGGCGGGGCTGCGCGGAGCCGGGCGGAGAAGGAGGAGGTTTCGGGGGAGGGCCGGTGAAGATGGAGCTGCCGCGCCAAGAACCGTGCCTAGCGGACGGGACCGGGGGGGACACGGCAGGCGCCTGCCTCGGAGGGGCTTCTTCCCGGCAGAACAACCCCCGCAACCCGAGTGCGGGCAGGGAGGAACTCGAGAGTCCTGTAGCCAGGGGAGGCAGGCCGGGGGAGCCGGGGCGAGAGGAGCGGGCGCGGGGGTCTCGCCGAGAGGCTGCGGAGGGGAGCAGAGCGGAGAGCGCTCAGGGCAGCAGCCCCCCGCCGGAGGGCTGCGAGCAAGGAGGGAGGCGGGAGAGAGAACCGGGGGGCGCTGCCGCTGGAAGCGCCAGGACCAGCCTGCCGAAGAGCCAGCGGGGAACTCGAGCCCCGCGATGAACTTCCCGAAGCCTGAGAACGAGCAGGTGCCCGGGGAAGGGCAGGCACATCCGGACAGCCTCGCCCAGGACCTCAAAAACACGGCTGTTTAGCGGCTTTTTCCTCCTACGTGCCAAGCTCCAAGGGAGCAAGGAAACAAGTTTGGTCCCTGGAAGAAAAATACGGGAGGAACCTGGCTTGGTACCCAGAAAGAGCAGTCCCCGGGCTTCCCAGGAGACAGCTAGATCCTGGAGAGGGAAACCGGACCACTGGCCCAACGAGCTACTGTTATATTTCGTCTCACTCATCCTTCTCCCCTCACAGCTCCCGCCATCGTGTTCGAAGGAAATCCACAGCACGGTGCCCTTAAACAACACAGGAGGTATCATACCACAGAGTAAACTTGAAAAAAAAAAAAAAAAGAAAACAGGACTGTAACAAACCCTGGTTTCAAATCAAAGAACCCATCAAATCATTATCTAAGGGGCTGAAACATCTGTTTCACATACCCCAATACTAGAAAATTGTCTCATTGTAAAGAAGATGCAGGCTAATGCTAAAAACATCTGTCTTCAGATTTCCTTTTAAGATAGTATACTGCCAAAATACTTTTATTGTTTCCTGCATCCCAAGTATTTTTGTCACCAGCTTGTTTTCTAACACAACCAATACTCCTGCAACCCAGTTTATCTTTTCTTTCTGCAAAACTTGTAATTATTCCTATCTCATCATTTTCTCACTTCCAGCCATATATGTTACTTTTTACTACTCTAATAAGTATCTGGTGGAAGTAACTTGTACCCACTTACTAGTTGTTAACACCTTGCAGCTTTATCCATTTTTCCACTTCTTTTTAAGCAGACAATACAGATTTTTGCAGCATGTAAAAATTTTACAGCCACACTAAGAAGAATATTTCACTTTCAGAAGAAATTTGCTTTTTCTTCAGCACATTTTTTAGATCTGAGTGATGTCAGGAAGATATTCCTGTAAATAAAAGCAGGAACAACTTCTTCCACAGGTACCTAACAAATTAAAAATGGGGAAAAAAATTACAGGGCACGAACTACATATTAATTGGCTTTACTATGCTTGAGTTACTATTCATTCTTGACTGGCACTAGCAGTGATGTAAAGATGGGAAAGAGCCTGCTGTCCATCCAGTCTCTTGTTCACTGCCCCAGGAAAGGCACCCTCGCCCTTCACACAAGCACAAGGATTAAGTTCTCTGTAGCAGCTCACCTATTAATTAAAAATCACTTCAATCCAAGGACTTTAAATCTCTTTTCCAGGTAACCAGTCTCCTGCACAAACTTCATTTTTTTCAGAAATAATTTTGCAGACATCAGATCCCAAGCATTCTTGAATTATTTATGGACTGGAGGGTAACAAATCTTTTTCATGAATATCTGTAACCTCCTACTAATAAATAATTAACTGTCTGCTCATTAATGGTATTAAAAATAAAAAAAGTGTTAAATTTCACAACACAAGTAAATTTTTTTTTAGTTTTTCATTGAACCTCCTTACATATTCCAGAAATGCAAAGTTTTGTTGTATCAAGTTTTAACCATATTAAGAAATTCCAACTAATAACATGACCAATAAAATTTATTAAATATTATATTTACAACTATTTACATATCCCTTCCATAGATTAATATTAAAATAGACAATATACAATTTAAGAATTTTAATTCAAAGGCATTTTGTTGGAAAAAATAGGCTCTATTTCGAGACCACCATATAAGAGCAAAAGGGTTTTTTTCGTTTTACACAAAAATATTTTCAGTATAGGAAGTCACAGGTATGGCATTACAACAGCAGACTAATATGAAATATGATTTTGTAAATATTACAGTTGTTTGGGTATCAGTTATTGAAGGAAAGGAGTTAAGAGTCCTGTGAAGCATGCAATACAGTTCAATTCTTTTACAGTTATGGTGATGAAACAAGCAGCTAAATCAAAATGCATGCCATACAAAAAGGAACTGCCAACCAGGAACACACTACACGTAATAAAAAGTACAACTTTGGTCCAATAAAACATTAGACAAAAACAGTTTTACATTTAAAATATCTATTTTATACAGGTTTGAACATTAATTACAAGACTATTTACATTTGCACAATATGTATAAAATAAATTATTAAAAAATGAAGACAATATTACATCTTTTTCCAAAAAGAAATTTGTACAGTAATTTACAAAACATAATAAGTTTAATTGATTATTTCCTCCAAATCTTACATTTTCTTCCACAGGCTTTTTCATCATTTTTCTGTGGGAGTTCAACTGTTACTGAAATTTCATAATACAAAGCTTTATAGCAGATTTTAAGTATCATTTGGCTCTGAGTGGATGTTTTACTTATTAACAGCTTCCAGCGCTGTTAACTCACCAGGTTTTGTCATCTTTTTCAGCAATAAGCTCTAAAGCTACAGGCAATTTTACACTACATGTAACAGCATTTACTGGGAATCTGAATTTAAAATTTGCATCCATTTTCTGTGTTTGAACAAGAGTCCATGCCACGCTTCTCTGAAGGAACACCTGAATTATTGAGAAAGGTAGTATTCCACAGAATTAAGTGCTCCCTCTTAAAAGAAAAATACATCTGTGTATCCCTGCACCTCAGCCTCTAGCTGTCCAAGGGGAAGGGTGAGCCAGAAGATGCTAATTGTCATATTGGCGTCAATTCAAAGTCATCATTCACATCAACAAGAGGAACATAAAACTCCTGAATTTCATAAATGCTGATAGATTTGTATGTAGCAGGATCAAGTTCTTGCAGTTTAAGCTGCCACTCCAGTCTCTGTACCGCATTTAACGCCGCTGCTTCGTGCTGCTGCCTCATCAAAAGGCATGTCTATTTTAAAATTGAGGAAAAAAGTTATTTCAGTATTTGAAAAAATAATGCAACAAGTTTGAAAACAGGAAATATATCTAAGAGCCCCTCTGGTGATAGTAAGTAACTCCCCCAGTACGTATTTAGAAATTTGCTGATTATTCCATTACACTACATGGCAGCAAAGGTCAGGTTTTTTATACTGCTGGACCTTGTGTTGCCCTTAAAACCTCTACAAAAGCCTATGATACTGCACTCAAATCTACTATTTATTAATTTCATCTTCTCGATGACATTAGTTTTCTTTTTTAAAGTGGAAATAGAAAGGAGTATACCTTTAACTTGTCAAACTTATCATCAACGTCCTGCAGCCATGACATAAACTGTCTTGCATTAAATCGATCCCTCACCGAAGTTTTGCTGTCATCAGTCTGCAAAAAACCCAAAAATTTATTCAAACTCAAAGTTACTTGACGATTCAATCTTAAATATACTTTAAAACACAAAACTTACTCTATGGGACGTAAACAATAAACAATCCCACCCGATGAAAACATGAACTCAAAGTACAAAGGTATTTATGAGCATAAATGCTGACTACCGCTTCCACTGTGAGCCAGCTGCTCACTCAAAATGGGTATTTTCAGATTCCCTCAAGCTATTTACTGTGCTCTACTTTTCAAATTTAGAGTAGGAGGCTTAAAGATTTATGCCTTAAAGTCTTAACTAACAGAAGTCAGAGCCTTCAACAAAATTACTCTGTTTTCTTTAAAATTCAGTAACAAATTAATATTCCCTCAGGGAAAAGCAAAAACATGGAAAACTTAAGCAAACTTCAATGTATTCAATGCAATAATAAAAAATATTTTTACCATCAAAATCCCCAAAGGGAGATTAAAAAAAGTGAGCAGACCTGTCTTATGTCCTGCCTAATGAAAGTTATTTTTAAAATGCCAACTATTTCATAAGAATCTGGAATGTCACATCTGTCCATTGTAAGAAACTAGATACTCTATATACATAGTCCTAAAGCCAGACTCTGCCAATTTAACATTTAAATAATAATCACTAAATAGAACAAGCTGCTGTTACTCTTTAAGGGAGAAAAAAAGACACTGCAGGAACTTGCACACTGTAGCAACGGGAAGAACAGAAACAAAAAAGGCCAACCAAACCTGCAGAGATTGACATTTCTAGAAAAGAGCTGAGATTTCAGATGTGAATGACAGCTGAAAAGGCTTCTTCTAGAAAGAGCCCTCCGCAGCACTGATCTTCTAACCACGAGCTGGAGACATTTAGGTGAACTGTGACCATCTAACACTCTGTCCACCAAAAACTTGGGCATTTTTCCTCCCACTTCTTTGGTTTGGTCCTTTGCTTGAGTGCAAAGGACAGTCCTCACAGTCACTGAAAAGGTGCTGAATGCTATTTCCATTTTTGTTAGTTACAAGAACTGTTCACAAAATACATGAGATTGTATTATCTTGCAGATACAGCTGGAGCCAACTTTTGGGTGAGAATCCATGAAAGGTATACAGATCATAATGTACACTGCTTATTCCAGGTTTTAATCAGGACTAAAT